AAAAATTAAACGAATTTACCTCCGACTGCCGTATGTTGCTGAAAGTACAGAAATTATTTACGACTAAGTTCAACAATCAAAAATCGTATTAAGTTGGAACACTCTTTGAGTGTCTTTCATTCATAATAGGTAATATATATAATAGGTATAACCATCTATTATTTATACCATAAGACAACATATACTAAATAAACATTCGTAAGTAATGATTTATAATAATACGTTCAATAAATTCTTCCATACACAGCAATAGACTTCTGAGTTTTTTTGTACTTTATACAGTTTTCTATGAATAAAATGACTTGTATTTCATACCTTGTATAACCCTATAGGGTTAAATAAGTTTGATTTTGTATACGTGGTCATTAAGTACTGTAAAAAATCAGTGTGGATTATCTATTAGATTTTATTTCATTCATTTAATACATATAATACAGACAGCAAACCTATTCACAATTAAATTTAAAGTAATTTTTAAAAATTAATATTAAAAATAATAAGAACTATTGTTTATCGGATACGTGATTGTATTATAATTTTTTAATACTTGAACCTTGACCCATCGACCATATTAATAATGCATTATTAATATTGTAATACAGTTTTTATATCTACACTCACACTTCATAATATCTGCTAAATACATGCTCTACATTCATCGTATTAGAATTTGAAATACCAGAGTATAGCGGTTGGTCACTAAAAGTTAATAGAGAATTTTATAAATGGAAAATAATGTTTTGTTATTTATTGGAAACTCATAGGTGCAAATGAGTAATATATTAAATATTAAATCAATGAAACCGAAAAGTTTTAAACTGATTTATTTACTTACAATGCATATAGGTAAGAATACCCACAGATTATACAATTATAAGATGCACCCAGTTTCTAATTTTTTTATTTGTATATAATATGCATTCTTTAAATTTGTCGGTAGTTGCATTATGCAACACAGTCAATAAAATCTAATCTATTAAGACTTCCTATAATAAATTAACAATATTATACCACGCCGCCATATAAGAGTGGAATATAATAAATTGTTGACCGGAAAAGTGTAATATTCGGTAGGTATGTTTACTTATATTATGTCAAAACATATTAAAATCAATGACTATGTTTAATGTTAACATAAATTTATATTCATATGTATCCAACACTTCTATTCTACATGAATATTTAATGGTTATTTTAATTTTAACTGTCACTCATCATCACGTCCGTTTTCGAAAAGTTCGTCTATATAAAAAGTATTTAATATTGCAACTTAATACATTTAAATATGTGATAAATGTTAAAAATAAGTTGTAAAAAAATTTTTTATCGCCGCATTAAAAAGGCAATCTAGATTACAAATTTGGTATAATACATTTTAAAGTTCAGAAATATAAAAATACAATTAATACCTATAACAGCTTCAATGATATGATATTAAAACAGTCAATTGATTTTGATCACATTTAATTAATAAAACAATGTGCTTTAATTTCAAACGCAACCTATTTTAAAAACAATATCATAACATATTCTATAAATATATTTTTTATAGGCCCAATATTCTTTTTTTTTGAAAAATAAACGAATAATAATAATAATAGTACTAGAAAAACGAATGTCATACTAACCTAATAGTTAATACTAAAAACTTCTATTTACAAGCATTTCTTAGTCATGCCTAATAATAATAAACGCAAGAAAAAAGTATCTAAAACATTAAAAAATATCTTTGTAAAACATTTCTTTTTAACGGCGAGTTTGGTTTGACGTTGTGCAGAAATGTAAACTATTTTTAGAAACATTAGTTTGAAATGAAAAATCAATGGTTGCGGCAACCGTAGGTCAGTTTACAAAAATATTTTTTTTTTTAAACGATGGCTACTACGAACTACGAAGCCGTATGAAAGGATTTTCACGAAGTCGTAGAAATGTCAAAAAACTAATAATAAAACTCAACTCGTGCGTTCAAAAAGATTTAATCAAATACACGAATCAAGTCGAAGGCGCGTGTTTGGTTTTTTCGAATGTTAAAAAAAAAAATAACTTTAGCATTAAAATAAAGTGTTCTATACAACTATATTACTCTATACTGTGCATGTAAACTTATAACTTATAAGTAATAATTTTTATTACTTAATGCAACTTGCGATTGCTAAAATGTTATCTAAAACATTGAAATACCTATACTAAAAACAAATTAAATAAATAAACAGAGTTATAAATTATCTGGTATTTGGTTAATTCACTGTTTGAATAGTAGTAATAATATTATTAATTATTATTATGCTTCCCAGCTGTATAAATATCACGTGTGCATCGTGTGGCTATAGTTTATTGCAAGGCGTCGCGTGTATGCAAACCGACTTACGGTCGGCGAGTTCGGTTTGGATTCTATCTCGAATTCTTGAATAGACGGAAAGTCGGTAAGGGTAACCTGAAGTTATAATATCATAATAATATAATACTCATGTGTCTCGTGAACGTCGTTCAACATGTCATTCATTATCACACGGATACTGTGTATCAACGACGGGTTATTATCTTGTAATCCGAGTGCCCTCATAAAACACATAAAAACAATATTATATAAATAATATGTTGTTCGTCGTATAGATGTGCATTTAGTCTTCAAATAGTAATTATTAGTGCAAAACAAAATGTATAAAAGAAAAAAAACATCTATTGTACTTGTACCTAGTTAACTGGCTTTTCTATTAACACGATTTTTAGACGAACCGAGAGAATGCTCGCGTTGTGAACCGGTTTGCAGTTGCTGAGGAAAAACGTTATATAATATAAACGTGGTTTTACGGTTTGGCACATATTGGCTATAATAAAGTACATGAAAAAATACCCGTGTAAAAACCTACATACGTAAATGAGTATATTATTCAAGAGTGTGGGCCATATCGATTTACACATAATATATTATGTTCTGTTCTATACTTCTGTTTCTGCGCGTGTGTGTAAACTAACTATAGTCATTCTAATTGAGATCGGGGAAATGGTCGTGGCACGATGGGCGGTAATATTGACGTGTTTAAAGGAATACGACACGTGCGATGACTCGGAATGTCGAAACATCAATTCTTTATAGATTAAATAAGTAAATAAATAATAATAATATATTAAAAACCATCCAAGAAGCAAAATAATGAACTTATAATTAACGTTATTTGTACGGTCACACGCAGTTGCATATTGAAATGAATAATAATATAATAATACATCTACATGCGAACTAAAAACTGTTCAATATCTCACGTGCTGTATTATGTACATGGTTCATTTGTTTCCATTTAAGATTATTATACGATTCTAAAGTATTCTACTTTATAGTGTGAATAGCTATTTAGAAATATATATAATTGAATCCCGTCATAGAACAAATTGATGATAGCCTCATTGTTTAGAAAATGAATGGTTATAGTTATAACTTATATCATTAAATTAGAACTTGGGGTCTTGACTCAAATTAATAGCATTCGTCCTGTAAATAAAAGCAATGTTAAACTCTTGATTTGAAAGTTATCTATACATTATTCGTACCTTTACCAAAATAAATGTATAGGTAAACATCCGTTTAGAATAATATAAAACTGTGATACTGATTTTTGTTAATCTATCATAATTTTAAAACGTGATAACATTTATTGAAAACCATCGAGATAAAAGTACAATCCAAACTCTAACCGGCATAAAGCAAGACCATAGTTTACAATTTAGCTTATATATGTTTGATTAGTTGACGAGAAATGATTACTTTACCAAAGAAATAGTTTTTAATAATATTATTAAATAATTTTGAATATATCAAATAAGATGTTATATGTGTAATCGATTACTAAGTTCGGAATTCCAAAAAAAATTCTAAATCATTTGTCTTTTACCTACTGATAAATTGCCACGTTGAATTTTGATTATAACATTTCATGTACCGTTGTACATTGTATATTTGTATATTATACTCAGTACTCATTATACTTATATTACTTAGTATACATTTATAATATTTTTATAAACGCAGTCATCTTCAAAAAGCAGTTAAAATAAAAAAGCATAAAATCAAAAACAAATTATTAATATGTTATATGACATTAACTTGATAAATTATGTCATAATCTTGAAGCGTTAAAGTATTGACAGCAATCGCCTTACATTAATATATTACTTACTACTATTATAACAACTACACAAGCCCATTTTATAAACAAATTAAGTGTGACAACACCATCATAAATAAACGTATAAAGTAATATATTGAAGTTAAAAACTTACAGGAAATTTATGGAACGGATAAACAACTATATTGTGACTAGGCTAATCCAATGGTATACAGGCAAGTATACTTGTGGTGGACTATATTATATAAATATATATAGCTGTCCGCTGGTTGAGGATGTGTAACGAATTTATTCTCGTGAGAATAATCAAGCGCACAAACACAACACTAGTATTGTGATATGGAATCAAAAAGCAGTCTTGTACACAGAAATTATTTTTCACGACACCTTACACACTTTATGAGGTCTCTTTGTCCAAAACAGTCGAATGGTCGGGTAACGTAAAAAAACAGTACGAATGCTCGCCATGGCGGCAGAATGGCACCTAAACTGTTTTCGATCACACTCGCGGCGTCGTTGTTCTCTGATACGATTCACTTCAATCACAAATAAAGTAATATTTCTCGAGTACGCGGGCGACTAACACTCGTTGCACCCACCACCGACACTAAAATATTATCATTATTATATTATTATCTACAATCACAACCGGCATGCGTGAACAAGGTTCGGCGGCGTTGGCGACGACGATCCTAAAAACACATACGACGACGTATTATGACTTATGTGAAAAGACAAGCGACGGTGACATTTCTAAATTTTTTTCCTCCACCCGGCCGCTCATCTCTCTTCCCCCTCCCCTCAAACCTTATCGGAGAACAAACAAAACGTGTGTGTGGTAAAGATAACAATTTTTACCATAAACGTGGCTTGTACAAACACAGGTACTTTATAGACGCATAATATACCTTTAACAATGTTATTAAATTATATTATATTATATTATATTATATTATATTATATTCGAGTTCAATCGCTTTGCGCGCGTGCGCCGCTCACGCCCGTGTTAGTAAAAACGAGTGTTTTTAGTTCTTTCTCCAATTCTTTTTTTTTTTTGCGACTCTTCGTTCGATGTAAGACACAAACGTTTTTATAACGAATATTATTAATACTAATATGCGCAATACGAAAATTTTGTGTATGTCGTATCTACTACTTATGCGTAGATAATAAAATATTATTATTATAGTGTATCTTCGAAAGCCGGAGGTCGACGTCGTATAAAGTCTGAGAAAAAAGGTGCAATTATATTAACCTTTGAGCTAATAATATCGGAAAACGCTGTGCACATAAGAATATCACAATATTGTACGATGAAAAAAGAAAAAAGTTTAATGGGTCGACATCATTATGACATTATGTACGCTTATATAATTATGAGTTAAATAAAAAAAAATGTTTGTAAGGTTTTCAAAAATAATATCACTCGTAGGTACAATATATACTTTTTATTCTCTTTATCTAACCCGTGTGTACTGATATGAAGTATAATTTCCGTGTTTAACTTTAACGTAAAGGATTACCGCACCGCACATAAATAATAATTTGCAACCATAATTATTATTTATTATATATTATTATGTTTATATTATATGTATCAATGTATCATTATGACATAGATATATGGTCATATGGATAAATATAATTATAATTACAATTAATATAATAATAATATTAACAACTCGATGACTGTTAAAATAAGCATTTATTCTAATATTGATTTTAACCGAAGACATGACATGCACAATGAACTATACGATTCTGTTATATTTGTTTGCAAATTAAGATGTTTAATACACCACACGTCATGATAAATTATGATTATTATTGTTATGATGTTATTATGCGTAGGTACAATCATTCTTATTATCACCGTTAACACGCAGACAACGGGTTTGGATATCAAATGTGTATACACTACACATTATTATATAAATTATATACAATATACATATTACATAATATTATGCTTTACCTAATTGAAACTTTTTCACTATTTCGAAGATCTGTAGATCGGTACAGTCACGTTCTATAAAAAAATCATTTATACCGTTGCACATTACTATGCCCTAGAACTTATGTAAAGATTCAATATTTTAGTCCATGGTGTTTTTTAATAAGAAACCAGGCCACCCAGAGAAATGTTAACAACTTCAAATTTATAGAACATTTTATATAATATCATAAATAGATCATATATAATGTATACCATATTAGAGTATAATATATAGTATATGCGTGATGTCTCATGTTGTTTTTTTTATCGGGCATCGATTATTTAAAAACTGATAAAAAAAAAATAATTCAATGATAATAATAATAAAGAATAGTATGATTGTTTTTTTTCTTCGCCGGGGCATTGCACTCTGAAGGTTTTGGAGAAGCTGACAACCATCGAAAATCATTTATACCCACTGGTCACTACTATATATAGCACCGATGGATGATAATTACACGTTTGATGAATGTTTTTTACTGTTCAATCCACCCTATACATCCCTAGCTGCAGAAACGTATAATTATTATCAAACGTAAAATTTCCACACGAACGCACCAGCATTTTATCGGGTCTCACAAATAATGGAAATATCCAATAGATTCTGTGACATTTTCAAACGAGATTTGTATTCCAATCAAAGTACAATTATGATACTGTGTTTCATTATTATTATTTTTATTTTTATTAAAAGCCCTTGATAAACTAAACATAAATTAAAATCAAGGATAGTTAAAAAAATGTATTTTTTTTTCACCATGAATCTTGTAAAATTCTTTCTGTACCTACTCTATAGCCATGGTCATATAAACTGACACATTAAAATAATGATCATTTGGCAAATGATACGAAGCTGATGAGAGTTTAATAATAATAATATAATAAATAAATGTGTGAACATTTTTTATCCCAAGTTTAAATTATTAATTTGCCCATGTTGTGCTCGAAATATTGAATTAACTAGATCCTTTATGATATTATGAATTTAAAACAAATAATAACGTTCACTTAATCCTAATAGTAATGTCTACCTTTACAGTACCTACTCATTTTTTTAATATTCTAAAAATATATTTTATTTAAAATATTAAGTTGATAAAATATTGTGCAATTATATAAGAAATATATTCGTAATAACACCGATCATGATTCACGTTAGGTATACAATGCATTCATAATTTAGTATATATTGAGATTGAGAACATTGCACATTTCGACATGGCTGTGGCTTTAAAGTTATGTTCTCGTATATTTTGTTATTCATTTTAAGAATTTCTTAATCCTTATGTAAATAATTAAACAATTTTTGAGTTTTCAGTGATCGGGTCAAGTGCTCTAAATAGCTTTATTTTCTTTATCAAACTGTCAGTATACAGTATTTTTATTCTATACCTAATGAGTAATGACTGTTTACTTTCTATTGCTTCTAGACCGTTCTATACTCCATATTATATTATATTTATATAGCTTTGACCAATTCTGTTGTCTACGTCATTCTTATATGGCATTTTATTAGTATAATACGTACATATACTTGTATATCTGGGCCAACGTTGTTCACAAATATAAATCAATATATAGTTTGTCCTTAAATAAAATCGTAAGAATTTAAAAACCATTAGGTATTTGAATATTTCGTCACTAAATAAAAAAATATCCTGACAAGTATTTTGGACTATTATTACAAAGCTGATACTCCGAAAACAATTTTAAAAACAATAGCTAGCACATGTTTTTGTATGACCTAATACTTAAAGAATGTTTCCTCTTGTAACATAATATGTCATTAGATAAACACTAGATTGCAACTAAAAAATCGCGAGATTAGGTCTACAATATTAACTCTTACCTATATGAGAGTAAAGATAAAACAATTTTTTTTTCTAACAATACATGCAAATATATCTTAGTTCCAGTTATTAGATACTCAAAAGATAATAATAATGTTTGTTACGTTCAAGGCATCATATTATAATATACAATATAATTTTATTAAATTACTTTACAATTAAAAACTATTATAAATTATTGATTCTTAAAATGTTTTTATTTCTTCATCTGCAGTCGACAAATAGATAAAAGCTGATTAATTATATTAGCAGATATAGTTAAAGCATAGTTCAAACGAGATCGTTCGTTAACTTAAGCCGGTTAGCTGCGGAACGCTTGTAAATACCCTATATCATCGTTTCCGGCACTCGCAACAAATAAAATTGTCGGCAGCTGCAGGTAGCTATATTCTCCGCTCGTCCGAAGATCATTATTAAAGCGCAGCACGAATGTTTCGCGTGATCTACACACGTTCGTAATTAACGGAATTGATAGTATATAAGTGCTTATATATGCTTATTAATATATAAATATCAAATAATACAATTAAAATAAATGTTTAAGATATCATAATATCAATCAAAACAAATACACAAACTGATGATACTAATAGTGATCATTGATCATCATTGCCGTGTATAGATCACCTTGATTGCGTGCAGTGTACACGCACATAATAAGCGAGTGCCGAGTGTATGTATATAAATAATTAATATATATATATATATATACATAGGTATATTAAAATATATTATAATAGCAGCAGCTGTCTGTGCGTGTGTGTATTAATACAAGTGAAGTTCAAGGATGACTTGCGGCAAAGGTGCCCATTTGCATCCCACTAGTGAATCCCACACACGGGTTTTGCGATACAATTTACACGGATGATATTTAAAAAAAAACTTAAATGTTCATATTCGCGTTGTGATAAATGTTGTCTTCCCTTGCATAATAAGTGTTGGTATACCAGTTATGGCCTACACCGTATTATGTATTAGACATAATCGTATAACCATATAGGCTACATGGTAATATACGCTAATACCTAATACTGTATACGGAACGGTTTTATCGAAACAGTTAGCATACAAATCGTTCACTACATTAACTTTTTATTACAGGCACTTATTTTATATGCAAGTAAGTATCTAATAATAATATCCACTGGACCTTTTTGAGGATTAACATAAATTTCCTACGGAATTGTGAACAACCCCAATTACGTTCGCATAATGGGAGGTAATACGTTTCGATAATGATATGCACCGAGAAAGGCAATCTGGTGATTCTCTCTTATATTCCATAACCCAATAATCTTAAACCGTTTTGTGTGTCTATATCCTCTAAGGTTCGTTACATAGGGTGTAATGGATCGAATAGTTTCCACGCCGACGTATTATCCTTGAGGTGAATATTTGACATCCAACCGAGCGTTAAGAGTAGACCAAGGACAGTATAAATAATCCAGGAACATTATTGAGATAAATGACAAGAAATAAAAACAACTGTTTTTTTATATCGTTTATGATGAATTTTTTTCAGCATTCTTTTTGTATTATTTAAATAACTCATTGTTTACACTAAATTATTTATTTAATTTTTTTTTCATTAACCACAACCTTGACTTATTTAAAAATTTCATTTTTACAATATTGTTATAATCTCGTTTATAGCTAACATATCAATTACATAAATACGCGTTATTAAGAAACAGAAAAACATAAGACTTCTGCAGTTGATTCCAGAGCTCAGAACTTTCACGATACATGTCGACCGATAATATTAGCCATCTCACTCTTTCTCTCGATTAACGATGCTATAACCGATAGCGAATCTTATGGTAAAACCGGTTAGGTTCACGCGTACATTGGAAACTCAAATTAGGTACACAACAAAGCAAACCATGGTCGTAAATCCTAGACTTATCAATGAACATAGGTATCGTATACGATTTCGAGCATCGTCTATACTACCAAAAGTATATCGAAGCAATTAACCTATATGTAATATATACCAGGGCCTATAATTGATTATATACATAGTACTGCATATAACATCAGATTTCAGGAACATTGCCAATATCACGCGTATACTCCATCTGTGTATATTTAATGCATCTGTTTTTTTTTAGTGAATGTGTGCGAGATTATACGAAATGTTTATAATGTTTATATAACATGGTATATTTTTTAACGAAATCGCATGATTCTTTATGAAAAAACCCGTGCAAAAACCACCAATTATAATTACTTTGGGACAATAATCGACAACAAAACCGCATAATGTACACATTTATTTATGTGCCAGTACCAGCCATACATAATATTTATACATCGGAGTATCAGACCTAACATGAATAGTGTATATGCACATAGTTTACGCAATATTTCGGTCTCACGACAAAGGAATTGATCGTTTCGCAAAATCGATTATTGAAATGTTTTATTTATGTGTAAATTTAAGTAATTTGTCATTCCTGGCGTACCTAACTGACTGGATTTCACTTTGCGTATTATATGGCACTCACTGTCGTGGTGTGAACCAGAGGATATACAACAATCAAGGAACTATAAAAATCTGATTAAAATATGCGGCGATTTTACTCTCCATCAAATATGAATAATACACACATAGTAAGCCGAAAGCTTTACAGAATGATTATCAGTATGCTACCCGAGCACGATATAGGTATTGTTAAAAAAATGTTTGTGGTGTTACCGACGAGTTTTTAAGGATTTAAACGTCTATACATACACTTAATCGGAGAGTACAAATTGGCGTGTGATAGAAATCGATTGTCGAATAAGAGTAATTTCGATCACTCGTCGTCGAGGCAATTTTTTGTCGTCGATGGTTGCTGCAAAATCTACAACAAATTATAGCCTGATGCCAACGTACGGCGACCGCACTTATTGTATTCTATTATTGTGTCAGCCACGGTGCACCGCAGTGTTCTTCGATATTGGTCATTGTTCCCGTTTTGCGCGGAAAGAGAGGAATGAAAAAACGTGCTCAGTTAACATAAACAATACGAAACTTCTACCGGCAACCAGAGACTAGGTTTAAAAAATATATAATAATAATATACACTATGTTCACCTTCCAGCAAAATAATAATATTCAGAAAAATACATACGT